CTCGATTCACTGTCTTAAAATGTGATCAGCCTTATGGATTCAAGAGAGCACTTGAATCGGAAGGTTGTGTTGCTTAATTGTTTAATGGACATCTATATATGTTTTTTTTTTTTTTGAAAAATCCATTTAAGACACATTTAGCAACCTTTCAGACTGATCCCTGAGCTAAGTGAAAGCATGAGTCTTGTTGGCCAGATAATTCCCATGGAGACCATACAAGGAGTTCCTCAGTGTAACCTAGGAATTGCAGGATGAAAAGGTATTCAATATCTTAGGGCCGAGAAGTAGTTTTGAATAGAATAGAGACACCTGAGGGTGAACAGTTTCCATTATTGTGGTGGAAAAAAATCTTTTGATGAGAAGAGACCCAAGAAGTTACACGTCAACATTGTCTCTCCCGTTGCTTTCTCTGTCAGATTCTGATGTTAAGAGGCCTCTTCTAACTACTGCCCAGTTAATCAACAGTTTGTGGATACCCTTTGTCCTACATGGAAGGCTTTTATACTCTCAAACTCATTTATAAAGACTTGTGTATTAGGCCTCTTTCTTTATTGGAACCTCCCCCGAAATGTCAGACGTACTAATGGCTTACTTTTCTTACCTTCAATTAACTGAGGGAATACATTTTTCCTCATATCTGTTTAATTTCTTAATGTGTCATCCTAGTATTACTAAATCTGACAGGATTAGGTAAGCTTAGAGATTTAAAGTAATTTTGTTTTTTTTTATCTGAGCCCTTAGATCTCCAAGAAGTAGATTTTACCTCTTTTTTATGCATCTTCATTTGTTAAAGGTTTACTTGTTTTATGGGTATAACTGTTTGTGTGTGTGTGTGTGTGTGTGTGTGTGTGTGTAGGAGATGATAGCTGGTGCCCAAAGAGGCCAGAAGAAGGTGTGGGATCCCCTGAAACTGGAGGTACACTGTTTTGCAATGTCATGTGATTTCTGGGAACTGAATCCAGATCATCAGCAGAAACAGTAAGTGCTCTTAACCTCTTAGCCACCCCACCAACTCCAGCATCTGTATTTTTAATAGGAATTATTTCAAAAGGGTGTGTGTGTGTGTGTGTGTGTGTGTGTGTGTGTGTGTGTGTGTGTAGGTAAAGACATCTTTTCTCCATCTCCCTTATGTTTATTAGCTGGACCTGCAAATTAGAGTAACAAAACAAATTAATAGGGTAAAACCAAAGAGTTTATTAGCACATGTAATGTGTATAAATTTGGGATACTCAGACATTCAGACAAAGTTTTCTGTTTATTTGTTTTTTGGTCTTTGGATTTTTTTTGAGACAGGGTTTCTCTGTGCAGCCCTGGCTCTCCTGGAACTCGTTCTGTAGACCAGGCAGCCTTGAACTTAAAGATCTGCCTGCCTCTGCCTCTGAAGTTCAAGTGCTGGGATTAAAGGCATGCACTACCACCGCACTGCAAACTCAGACAGAATTTTAAGAGTTAGACCTTGCAGATTATATGCCATCTCAACAAAGAGTGATACATTGTGAAGAAATGTCAAAAAGAAGTGGATTTGTTCTTCTAGGGGTGATAAATTACAGAAAGTAAAATATATTGTGGAAACTAATGAAAATTAAGAGCTGTATAGGCTCAGCTCAGTACTGCACAGTAGAGGGAGAGTGCCTGCCAAGGAGGAATTTATGTATTTATCCCTTGTCACATTAGACAGAAAGTGAAAGTCACATATCTCTTTTCATATATCTTCCATATCTTAGTTACCTTCAGCTCAAAATAATCCTTATAACAAATTGACATATACTGAAATGGCCATTCTTTACACTATCAACTATTATTTAAGTTTAATGAGGTCATATGTACAGTATAATCTTGTTTGTATTTCTGAAGAAATAGTAGAATAGGCAAGATTGACAGCTAATATGTCTTTAAAGGCATTTTTTCTACTGTGCTCCATTTAGTTGTGTATTTATATGGAGTCAAGAGTATGGTGGTTGCATTGTTGCACACCTCTGACCGGTTTAGTACAAATGAAGGCAGGGTAACATTTTAAGAAGTTACAAAGACATGAAACTGATCAGGTATTATCACTGATAACATCTCAGACTGAAGCTGCCGCTAAAGAGAAGGAAATAATTTAATGTTTCAGTAAGTCATCTCCTTTGAGAGATTGAAGGATCACAATGGATCAGTATCATAAAAGTAGAAATCTACACTTCTCTTTCTCTAGTTGGTCCACAGATATGGCCTCACCCCCATACTGTTCACTTCTCTAAAAGCTTTTGCCAGTATTTTTACCTCACGGTTCCTTACCAGAGCCCACAGATAAAGTACTGGCCACTACTTTGTGGCAGAGTGAATGGAGTGGGGAAGGGCAAATGTATAAGACCTAACACCTATGATATCTATGTTTAATGCCAATTTTTCCAAGTGCTATTACTGAGCACAGACACATTGCTTAACTATTTAAATCTTGAATTTCTTCTTTGTTGATCAGAGTAATAATATGGATAGTAAGATTTATGAAGGGGCAAGGTTTATACAGAAAATTACTGGCACAATACAAATATTGATGGCTACTATATGTTGAATGAATTGCTTTCAAGATTTTAAGTCCTGACTTTACCCTGTATTGATATAACCTTGCAAAAATAACTTCATTTCAGTGCCATTTTGTTTTTACTTTTTTTAAAAGCAAAATATGTGGTTGAATGGTGGTTAGGGAGACAGTTCTTTTGAACATTTAATCCAAAATGAATACACTCTCATAAGGGACAGCAATCGTGGCTCAAGTTTATTCTTGGTGCCCAGGAAGAAAAATAGCTCTGTAACTATGGTAATCAACAAGCAAGTCTTTCTGGGGCAAGAACTAGAACCCATCTAGGGCAGGAGCAGCACACCCAGGAAAGGGCACAGCTACTTCATCCAATGAGACCCTGCAGAGCCTCATAAGCGTTAACATTCCAGTTATCTCCCAAGTCCTAAGGTGGAGCGAGGGTACCACGGACTGTGCTCAGATATCCACATTACAGGTTAATTTTCATAGCTGCTAGGTCAGAAGGTTGTAGCATTTCTGTCTTAACCTGGCAGCACTGAGGGTCATAAGGAGTTGTTTCCTCAAGCAAAGCAGACCCAGGATCTAGTTCAAGTCTATATAACCCAAGTGTGTCTGACATCCTATTTCTAGTAAGAATGAGAACTATTGTCGTTCACAATGTTTACCTCTGTTTTAAAACTCTTGGCACCACCCCTCAGACTTGACTTACCCTCCTGTGCTCCTATTGTGTCTTGTAGAGATATGTATTCCATAGGCCACTGCACTCATTGGTCACCTTCTGTCCAGTGCCTCATCTCCTACTAAAATTTTCCCAAAACATAGGATGGGAATTGTTGATTATTTTAGCAATAGGGTACCATTCAAAGCTGATAGTGGCAGCTGGATAAACACCAGGGAATAACTGGATAGATACCTATTGCTTCTCAGGCTTGATGCCCACAACTTGGCAAGCATGTTAACTTTGGTTTCTTAGCCTGTAAAATGAAGATGATCATAATACCTATCTCACTGAGCTATGGGGAGTAAGTTAATTCTTGTTACTTTGCCATACATTTGTGCCCATAGTAAGTGCTTAGTAAATGTTAACTGCTATTAGAGGCAGTTTGTTTCCCACAATTTCCTTTAAATTGAGAGCTTTAACTGAAGTATCATGATACTAAATTAAGAATGTGAAATGTTTTCAAACAAGTTGAGTGTCTTGCAGAAGCTCACAGAACATAGGAGCACAAAGTGAGTTCCTTAGGGGTCTAAGATATGGCCAGGAAGCACTCATGGATCCCAATGAGCTATAGGTGTCCACAGTGTCTGTCCTGATTCTCCTTGCAATTCCACAAGTATTGATGGCCCAGAATTAGGCAGATCGGAGAAAAGCAACTGAGTGAGTAAGCCAGTGTGGTCATGGCATGGACCAGAGTCCTGGACATTCCTTCAAAGCTGCCTCTTGCCGCCTCTTGCCTTGGAGTGGCTTTGAGATTGGAGAGTGATAGGATCTTTGGGGCTAAGGGCAGACCAAGATTTCCTGTTGATCAGGATTGCTGGAGTCAAAGTACACACTGATGTATTCTGAAGCAGACTCTTTTTTTTTTTTTTTTTTTTTTTTTTTTTGGTTTTTGGAGGTAGGGTTTCTCTGTGTACCTTTGCGCCTTTCCTGGAACTCACTTGGTAGCCCAGGCTGACCTCGAACTCACAGAGATCCGCCTCCTCTGCCTCCCGAGTGTTGGGATTAAAGGTGTGCGCCACCACCGCCCGGCAGAAGCAGACTCTTAACAAGAGGACCTTGTTTTTTCTTTTAAGCAAGCACCGTGATTTTTATCATCAATTAAGTTTGTGAAACTTTGCCTAGCAGAAACTGAGGCTAGACTTCAGAGTGGTGCTCATCCTCTGACCCTTAAGTGCTCTTTTCTGCACTGTCCTCGATCTCTGTTGTGTAAACCCGAGGACTCAGTGGGCCTTGCTATAGTGTGCTCAGGGACCAGAACAGCTGGAGTGGCAGAGTTGATCGTGGAAATGTTTCAGTATTATACTTTTCTCCACACAAAAATGAAAGCAGTCACAGGGACTTTGGCACCAACCACTCACTAGAACTGCCCCTCCACCCTCCCCATCTAGAGAGCAGGCTGAGCTTTCTCCCAGAGGAAGCTCTGGGAAGCAAAAGCAGCGGCTGTAGCAGAAAAGGGACACTGGTGCTTCCCAGGCAGCAAACTAGCTCGCACAGCCTTGCCCAGCCTGGCATCATCAATGCTTGGAGCACTAGCTCTCCGGGGCAAGTTCCTTGGGAGTGTCTTTTCTCCACGGACCCTGAAAAGTCTAGGTTCTCCAACAGATGTTTCTCCCTCAGCTCTGAACTCAGAACACCCACCTGCCTGCTGCAGCGCAGGGTCCGGAGCCTGGATGCGCTGTAGCTGAACTGAGCCCCTCCAAGCAAATGCAAGCATCAGCATGAGAGGCTGGACTTTAGCCCAGGTCTGTCCTCACCCCGGGGGGCCGCCTGCTTGGCACTGTGCATCTGTGAGAAGCCGCTGCTCACTTTCCCCCCTTGCAAGTCTTTGTTCCAAGCCAGACATTGCTCGGATTCTCTAATTAACTCCCTCCACTCCAAAGGGGTCCGGAGGCTGTGATGCTCTGAGAGCTTAGAGGATGCTGACTCTAGAGTGGGAGTCGGAAGGACTGCAAACAGTGGGTATTGTTGTGATTATATGTGCATCTCTGAAGCTGCTCCATTTGCTGGGACTGATTGATTTTTCAGAAGGTAAAGTGGTCGCTCCCAGTCTGTGCGCTTGGTCAGGTCTGGTTCTGAACTGGATACAGATGCTGCAGAAGTTGCAAAGGCTTAATGCCCAAAGCAAAAGTTTTAGAATATGCATGCTTGACATAGAGAGCAGCCTAGCACCTGGACAGTTCATTTCTGTTTACCTGATACTGGGAGGGAAGTGTTTTGTAGCCTTCTCTTTCTACTCGAAGCCATTTATTTGGGTTTAGGGTGATTTGTGGGTTAAATGTGTCATCCTGAGTGCTTGCTCTTGGTTGTCAAATTCATTTTGGCTACCACACCTTGAGGTCATTGGTGATTCCTTCCTCTGGAAGAGTCTTGAATTGTGAGGGAAATGTCGTGTGTGTGTGTGTGTGTGTGTGTGTGTGTGTGTGTGTGTGATTAGTTAGGAGTTGCTGGGGTAGAGCTGGGCTGCTGATTATAATATGAAATGATATAAACTGGAGTTAATGGGTGTTCAGCAAAAATTTGCTTTGAACACTTAATTTGCAAGTGTTTCATTTACAATTGCCAATGAGCCACTTTAATCGTTTGTCTCCTGACCAGGGAACCTGTGCACACAAGGACAGAACGATGCCTCCGAGACGTTATCTCTCTAATAAAAAATCTCACCTTTACTATCCCAAAGTCAATCTTAGTATTAAAATAATGGCTATCTAAAGAAAAAAGTTGATTAACTTGGCTTTTAACTATTTGAATATACATCTCCTTGGAACTTTTTAACTTTAGTCGCCTGAAGTCAATTCTGTATACAAGCTCTCATTTTTTCTTCTTAAGTGAAAGAATTCATACTCTGGGGTCCTTGTTCATGTTACTTCCAGTTACATGTATGCTGAGCTATGGACAATCATCTCTCACATGGTATATGATGAGGGATATGGAAATATTTAACTCTCCATACTTATAATAATCATTCTAATTTTGAGAATTATAGCTATGAAGACATCATCACCAGTTACATCTGGTACATGTGTTGTTTCTCATAATATGTTAATATTTATCAGTATGTTATAACTTCAGTGTCCTTTCCCCTCTACAGAATAGGTTCAATAATGTATAACATTGTTAAGTCAAAATCCATGCAAAGTTCTCAGGCAATTTTGACATTTTTAAAGTACTCACAATATATGGTAAGTTCTGCTTACGTATAATGAAAAAAGGTATTGTAATGAGATGAAATAAGACCAAAGAGTTGATTTCTTCCTTATTTTACACAGTAATTCCATTTAACTCCTAATTGAAAAACAATACATAAGTAAACTTCTAAGTATGTTAAACAACGGTCTTTAATTCTCTTGGGATTCTGCCTCAATGGGTTTACATGGTATTTATGTAAATCCAAATAGAAAAATTTCAATTTCTACAATCACAATAATATGTATTGATATCAAGTTAGTCGCCTATTAGTATTTGTTCTCTGGATGTGGTGTTCTCACAGATAGTGTATTGTGATCAAGGAGGCTTGCTTTAGAGCTGGGTACCAAAGTCGAGAACCACCATGGAGATATTTGAGGGATATCAACTTTGCCAGTACTGTAAGACATTAACTAGTTTTTCTGTCATTGGTGATTGCATTATAGAAAGTTTACAATTAAAAGCTTCAAACTAAAGACCTGAGGCAATGACACTGATTTTCAGTTTTAAATCAGTTAAATTAAGTGTTGGGATTGACACTTCAAGTTGGAGCTTCAAATGTGTGGTAATAGAATTGTAAACCCAACTCTCCTTAATAGATTCAATGAATTTTGAGTTGATTTGAATGACAGCCTTGGGGTGGATATCCAAGTTATTGTTATAGATATACTTGAGTCTCTCTATGTACCCATAAATACAGATATACCTACATATTTATAAATAGAGTGTGATGTACAATAATCTGAGATAAATCTGTGTTCAATGAACAAGTCTTAATTATGTACAGTGCCACCATATAGAGCATAAGACCCATATTCATTTGGTCTGAAGAGAGATTGGTTTTGCCCTATAATACATTTTAAATAATGCTGGTCTAACCCAGCTCTCTTAGTTTATATAGATAATAAACAAAGGTAAGTGAGTTATCAAAAACCAAGCCATCTGGGAAATGAAAGAAGACCCAAGTCAAATACCACTGAGTGCTACGGATTGCTTTTCTTACCACAACCTTCTGTTCTTTCACTGGCTTCTTCTAACATATGTAAAGAGAATAAATAAAAACATACACAGAGAGATTTTTCTTGTCTAGAATTAGCTCCAAAGACCAAATAAGCCATCAGGGAGAAATACACTCACAGAAAATAAGATCATGCAAGAGCCAACTGATTTATGCGATGCTTGGACCCCAATCTAAGTATGAGATCTAAGCATACTAAGACTCCTGACCCTCATTACAGATTAGAACAAAAAACAAGTAGTCTCCTAAGCATCCTTCTAAATTCTGCATTGAATTTTAATCATCATTGACTTATATCCAATGATACTGAATGGTAAGTCCATGTAGAGTCAAGTGATGATGAGATTCAGGAAGGATATGATAGCTGCAACTGAGCCTTTCTATATACACTTCTTCACAATATGACAATCTCTAAGCATAGATAAAACCAACCAGAGTCTATAATTACCAGCCATGTTGGGAATCAAGAAAAATGGTAGCTAAAATTCAAGCCATGAGATATCACATTAATTCTTTTTCCTGGCAATCACTAAAAAGCAGACCAGAGCCAGGTATGGAGGCTAATGCTATTAACCTCAGCACTTCAGAGCACAGATACAGGAAGATTTCTGTGAGTTCAAGGCCAGCCTGTTCTACATAGCAATTTCAAGGACAGCAGGGCTTCATAGAAAGACCCTGTCTCAAAAACCAAACCAACAAACCAACTAAACAAACAAACAAACAAACAAAAAAACACCAGACACTGGCTATACCAATGTAGATTGCAAACCATTTCACTGAGGTTATGACACCAATCAATAAAATGGCTCACAATATGCCTAACTTAGAAGAATCTGGCATAGAAACAAATGGTGAGAGAAACTATTTCCCATATTAAAATAGTTTTCCAAGTTTGACAAATTTAAATTAAAAATCTTCAATTTAAATGCAATTTTAGGAATCAAAGTTTTTTTGTAAAAATAAAAACTAAGATGAGTAATGGAGGTTGGAGAGATGTCTCTGTGGTTAGGAGCACCAGCAGCTCTTTCAGGGGACCAAATTTGATTCCCAGCACTCACTTAGTAGCTCATAACTATATGAAACTCTAATACCTTCTTCTAACCTCCCAGGGCATCAGGCATGCAAGTAGTACACAGATATACTTGCATGCAAAGCATATATACAGATAAAATGGTAATACAAAATGAATAATGGAGTATTAATATAATAATTAAGGTTTTACACATAGTCACTAAGAACAGAAGTAGGGAAAACGTAAGATTGATATCATTTCATACTTCTGGAATTTCACCAATATCATATTGCATTCTGAATATGAATGTTGAATGTTGGGTTTTGATTGATATGATGACATGCTGAAAATAAATATTCATGGAAGATTCCCTCAGAGACCTCACATCATAGTAACAGAAATCATTCTCAAAGACAATAAAAGAAATAAAATTCTGAGCATAAACCTAGGCAAAGTTTCTTGGAGGCAGCATTAATGTGGGAAATCTTTAAAAAGAGGTCTATGGGAGGCTTTCTTAGAAAAATAGAACTACTGCACAGCACCTAGAAGTGAAAAAAAAAAATTTCTCAAATTGGAGAATGACGGAAGGGAATTCCAGTTTGAAGAAAGAGCTAAAGCTGGATTCTTATGCCCCTGGACTGGGTGGAATATATGGATACAGGAAGGGAATGTTTATACCATATAGAGCTGTGACTGATAAGGTCAAAGAGTATTGGTTCCAGTTACACTCATTCCCTAACTCCTCAGAGTCATTGACTCTAATGCTTCAACTTTGACGAAATAATTAAGGGTAAGAAATATTTCACATAGATTACCCAGAGGGTAAGTAAAAGTCTGTTCAGAACAGAAAAACTAGCTAAACAATTTATAATTCACATGAGAAAGATGAAAGACCATAGAATTTTCTCCACAACAAAATACAGTTTCAGCAGAAATTTCCCAATTAATACAATATCTGTGGCCTGCAGCTGTTCTAAAACAACACTTCTTTCATTTCAAGGAAATGTGATTTTAAATATCTTGCTTATGAGATAAGAAATGTGGAAGACACAGTTCATAGTTCTTCATATAGGAGCTCCATTGTGGAGAGACTGAAAAATTCTGATAGATGAAAGGATCTATTTTTCTTTCAGTATTTTCAATTGTTCTGTGTATTTTAGAAAAATTTCTATAACCAAATATAGAAAAACACAATGTAATCCACCATATATGCCTCAAGCAGTTTCAATAATGATTCATATCTGGACATATGTGTCTTAGCAATAGTATCATTCATTTTTTTTTATTTTCTGCACTATGTATTCTTTTTAACCACAGAATAAGAAGATGAATAGAAGACGAGTATTCACCTTAAAGAACTCTTAGTTTAAAATGGAGACTGGGCAGACAAATCAATAATATATATTATATATGTCATATAACATGATATATATAATAAACACACACACATATATAATAAGCAATCTATTCCATGAAGATTGTAACTAAATCCAAACAGAAAATTCAGAAACATTCAGAGATGGACAAGATAGAGGATCCTTTAAGCTGTCTTGTTATTGATAAATAGAAACATATCGAATTCATATGCAAGAAAGGTGCTTATGCAAGTACTATATATAAGGCAATGGGTGACATAACACTGCTGTAGAAGCACAAGGACCTGGTGCACCATATGGGGTTCCTGGAACAACAACAAGAATGTGTGAAAAGTAGACACAGTTTTATTTCTCCTTGGTTTTGATCTTCTATGATGTTTAGCACTGTTACACACACACACACACACACACACACACACACACACACACACACACACAC